GGTATGGGGTGGAGGGGAGAGCAACACAGGGGTTCTCGCTAACTCCAATGAGCACGCAATTTTGCTCATGCAAAGCCTCATAAAAAAACAGAAATAAGAGCTCCACACTCTTCCATCTGATCTCCCCTCTCTCAAAGACTGTCTGCCCCGCGACACTGCCCTCACCTAGCTCCGATAGAATCTCAGATCTTGGAACCTGGCTCAGGTAGCAGCTTGCTCCAGCCAGCGCACAGAGTTATTTTCCCCTGAGATTCCTGTCCATGCAGGCCACCAGCCAGGTGACCCTTAGACAAAGGGCCTCAGCAGCTGATCTCATATTAGCCAGATTCCCAAGAAGATTCTCCTTTTAAATTAAGTTATAGCTAGACATTTCTTCCTGCCAATAAATAGCCTCCCCCCAGCATGCTGGTGGACGCCTGAAACTGGTTCTGGAGACAATGTAAAATCAACGCCACTGGAACTGCTTACCCCTGAAGCCTCCACTGCTCCTGAGCCATGCATCCTTCATGCTAAAAGAAAACACCATCTTCCTTTGCTGGCAGGAAATCCTGTATTTATTTGGCAGCAGTGTCAGGAAAAAAGGGTTATTGATGCTCTGCATCCTTCACCTTTTACATGAACCCTTTTACCACATGCACAAGCATTTGCCACATACATCATGCACACACACGGAGGGGGGAGACGGGGGGGTTGAGCACACGGCCTTCAGCTCACTGTAGGATCACCGCGTCTTCCCTCCTTTCCTGGGGACAGCAAGGATGACCCCTGTTCAAACAGTCACGCAGCCAGCCACAAGTTTACCGAACCTGGACGCTATTTTTTATTTTAAATTGTACTTATTCCCCAAACTGCTGATGTCAGACAGATGCGTTCTGCTACTCCAATCTGCTCTGCTGAGAGCCCTTCGCCAGCAAGTGGGTATGAGTAGCCCTGCCCTAGGGACTGCACAGCAATATGTGCTAGAAAGAAAGCCAGGAGGGTACTAACCACTTCTGGATGGGTGTCAGCCACAGGAACCATGGTAATTTTAAGGTTCTACAACCAGTGGTGAATTTCAAGACGATCTTGGAAATGTCCTCCATTTAGTTGAAGTGAGACATGACTCCCAGAACTAACATGTTTATAACACACTCAGGATTGATCTGCCAGACAGATTAACATCCATTTAAACTCTCTGGGAGAAACTATGAAAACAGCAATCTATTAAATAAACCTGCTATTAGCTGGCGAGGGGTGGAAGTGTTTTTAAAAAAACCCAAACCGATCTTTAAATGAAATATATACCGTATGTTGTTCCAGAGCAGATCTAGTACGTTAATAGTAAGCTATTTTTATTGCAGTAGCGCTTAGAGGGTCCAGAAATCAATCCCAACCTTTGTCTATCTAGGTTGTAAACTCTTGAGGGCAGGGAGAAAGGAATACAATATAGCAGCTTAATTCCTCAAAATGAGAACTGGACAACAAGTAGACGACAAACAGTAATCAGCTGCACTAAAACTTAAAGACCCAAAAATGAGGAAAGAATCCATAGAGTATGGTCTGAGAGACGCTGCATTTTCCCAGAAAAAGACTCATTTAGGTAGCTTAAAAGCAGATGAAGATCTGTGGTGGAAATCATTACTGCCAAGTATTCTAATGCTCAGATAGCTTAGCCAAGGCTCTTCTCCTTCCCCCTAGATTAAGCCATGTTAGATGCATAGTCAATGTTTATTACATATCTCATAACGATCAGAAACAGGCAGATATACTGTCCCCTGCAGCATATCCAGGTCTGAAACATCATTAAAGCTAACTTCCTCCTTATTGTAGAACGATGCACCTGACAGCAGCTACAGAGTGTTGAGACAAAACATCCCAGTCAAAATAAAAACAACTAGTTTGTAATCAACAGTTCTGCCCACTCTAATTTGAAAGCTTCACACCTGCACCTGAGCAAGTCACCTCTCTAGCACACCTGTGTTATTATAGCAGCCAACCATCTCTACTGACTCATCCACAATGCTAGTGGCAGTGGGATTAGAGCAGGCAACCATTAAATAAAAGAATTACATATATTTAGAAAAAGCTAATTAATACAGAATCTTTGTTCTACTATTGAAGAGCTCTTAAGTAACATTCATCAATCAGCTCTGCCCATAAAGACAATGACATAGAGAAACTAGCCTCCGAGATTGATGCGTTAATATGATCATCTCCACAGACCACCTTTGTTGCACACACACACTGCATTTAATAGCACATAAATACGCTTTTGATGGAAGCCCCCAAATCAGCGTACACTGCTTTTATTTTGAAGACAATTTTGTCGCAAGAAAGTGTGATGTCTCAGCACATATGCCAAGTGCTGGATTTACAACTCCTAATGAGATTGAAATTCTTTGCCATTTAAATTGTAATTCACTAAACCCATTTCTACAAAATGAGACCTCAAAGCAGTTTAATTTAAATCCAGCTTCATGGGAACTGCCCCACCCTGAGTGGGCGGATACACTTTACATTTGTAGAGAAGCAGTCATAGACATTCAGTCCAGCACAGGTAATATAGGCCATCTGGAAACAGTTTTTTCTTTTTGTAACAGTGACAATAAAGAGAAATCATCTTTGCCTAACCCCTGCTGAGAAAAGTAATACAGGGACAGTGTAATATAGAAGAACATAAGAACGGCCATACCAGGTCAGACCAATGGTCCACCTAGCCCAGTATCCTGTCTTCTGACATTGGCCAGTGCCAGATGCTTCAGAAAGAATGAACAGAACAGAGCAATTTATTAAGGGACCCATACCCTATCATCCAGTCCCAGGTTCTAGCAGTCAGAGTCTTAGGGACACCCGGAGCACATGGATATGTCTCTGACCATCTTGGCGAACAGCCATTGATGGATCTATTCTCCATGAACTTATCTAGTACTTTTTTTTAACTCAATTATACTTATGGCTTTCACAATATCCCTTAGCAATGAGTTCCACAGGTTGACTGTGAGTTGCACAAAGAAATACTTTCTTATGTTTAAAACTGCTGCCTATTAATTTCATTGGGTGCCCCCTGGGGTTCTTCTGTTATGTGAAGGTGTAAATAACATTTCCCTAGTCACTTTCTCCACCAGTCAGGATTTTATAGACCTCTCCCATCTCCGCCCTCAGTCGTCTTTCTTCCAAACTGAACAGTCCTAGTCTATTTACTCTCTCCTCATATGGAAGCGGTTCTGTTCCTTAGTCATTTCTGCAGCCCTTCACAAGATTATTCTCCCACTATAGGTTGTGCACAGACCAGAAACCTGTTCTCCTGCCTTGTGCTGAACGAAAACCACGTTTCTTTATTGAACTCACAGAATAGATATTGTACCATCACAGACAGGTCTAGCTTCCACTAGTTAACGTGGCCACAGGCATGAGGAGGGGCTCCCGACAGAGCTATTACAAACTGTGTTCGCGGCTTAAAGGGCATTACGTTGGTGGCCACGGGATATCTGTAATGGCCAGTATCAGGGGCCTGAAACGTATCTGGAAGATGCCAATACCTGCCAATACCTGTTTTATCCCTATGTTGCATCACACAACCAAGGGACTTCAGTTTTTGAAGGCACCTGGCTAGGAAGCGCCCCCCTCACCCAGGCTACGGGATTATTGGCTGATTTATCACCATCTCCATTGTCCCACTGTCAGCCAAGGGCATGGGAACAGTTTGTACAGAGAGGGGGCTGAGCGCCACTGAACCCAACTGTAAACCTGGATGTGCTGGACACCACCCCAAGCTGGGGGCGCGGCAGCCCCCCGCCCCATCCCGGAGATCCGGGACCTGTGCGGTCTGCAGACATTTAGATGCAGCTTGGGGCGCAAGGACCTGATATGCCACAAAGTGGGGGTGCCCCACCTCCCCCAGACAGAGCCCCACAGCAAGGGGAAAATCGCCCCAAACACCCCCCTCCCCACATGGGCGCTGGCCGCTGCCCCTAACAGCGCCCACCCCCACCCCGAGACCAGCCGCCTCCGGCTGCAGGCGCGGGCGGAACCCAGAGGCGGGCCCGGGCCCGGCCCCGGCCCCGGCCCCGGCCCCGGGGCGAGCTGGGGCGGCCGCTCCCGAGCCCCCCGGCCGCATGCGCACCGCAGCCCCCATTGTTTCCCGGCCTCGGAGCGGTGGCCGGAATGGGGGGGACCCCCCGCCCCTTTTCCGGGAGGGACCCGCCAGGGCATCGCCCAGCTGCCGCCCCTGTCTGGGAGCGGGAAGGGCGGAGCGCCCCGAGACCGTCAGACGGTCACCAGCCCTGGGCTCGCCTCCCCCCGCCCCCACCCCCCGGGCTCGCCTGCCCCGACCCCGGCCCCCGTTCCCCGCCCCGCCCCCGGGCCGCCTGCCCCGACCCCGGCCCCCGTTCCCCCGCCCCCACCCCCGGGCTCGCCTGCCCCGACCCCGGCCCCCGTTCCCCGCCCCCGCCCCCGGGCTCGCCTGCCCCGACCCCGGCCCCCGTTCCCCGCCCCCACCGCCGGGCTCGCCTGCCCCGACCGCGGCCCACCGTTCCCCGTTCCCCGCCCCCACCCCCGGGCTCGCCTGCCCCGACCCCGGCCCCCGTTCCCCGCCCCCACCCCCGGGCTGCCTGCCCCGACCCCGGCCCCCGTTCCCCGCCCCCACCCCCGGGCTCGCCTGCCCCGACCGCGGCCCCCGTTCCCCGCCCCCCACCCCCGGGCTCGCCTGCCCCGACCCCGGCCCCCGTTCCCCGCCCCCACCGCCGGGCTCGCCTGCCCCGACCGCGGCCCCCGTTCCCCGCCCCCACCGCCGGGCTCGCCTGCCCCGACCGCGGCCCCGTTCCCCGTTCCCCGCCCCCACCCCCGGGCTCGCCTGCCCCGACCCCGGCCCCCGTTCCCCGCCCCCCACCCCCGGGCTCGCCTGCCCCGACCGCGGCCCCCGTTCCCCGCCCCCACCGCCGGGCTCGCCTGCCCCGACCGCGGCCCCCGTTCCCCGCCCCCACCCCCGGGCTCGCCTGCCCCGACCGCGGCCCCCGTCTCACCTGGCGGCCGGTGACCCCCTCGCCCAGCGCCAGCACGGTGCCCGCGCACTCCATGCCGGGGGAGACGGGCGGCGGCGGCAGCCGCTCGTAGAGCCCCTGCCGGGCCAGCAGGTCGGCGAAGTTGAGGCCGCAGGCTCGGACCCGCACGGCGAGCTCCCCGGGCCGCGGGCTGGGCTCGCCCCGCCGCACCTGCACCTTCACCTTCTCGTAGCCGCCGAAGCCCGAGAGCACCAGGGCCCGGTACTGGGGCTCCGCCGGGGGCGCGTCCCCGCCGCCCGCCGCCCGCTGCTCCGCCGGGGGGGCCGGCTCGGCGGGGGCCGGGGGCGCCGCTGCCTCTTCCCCGGACATGGCGGGGCTCGGGTGGGGTCCGGAGCGGCCGGAGCGGCTCGCGGTGCGGGGCTCGGGTGGGGTCCGCAGCGGCCGGGCTCGCGGTGCGGGGCTCGGGTGGGGTCCGCAGCGGCCGGGCTCGCGGTGCGGGGCTCGGGTGGGGTGCAGGGCCGGGGGTCGGACGGGCCCCTGGGGCAGGGGGGGAACCGGGTGTGGGGCCCTGGGGCAGCGGCCGGGACCGGCGGGCGCAGGGGACCGGGCAGCCGCGGCCGGACAGCTGCGAACAGCTGGGCTGAGCGCGGGCTTGCGGGGAAACCCGGAGCCGGAATCCGGGGCGTGGCTGGAATGAGGGAAAACGTGGACTGGGGCGTACGGAGCGGAGCCACCAGCTCCCTCCACGGGGCGCGGCGTCTCACGCAGGGTAGCAGAGGCTCGAGCTGGAAGCCCGGACTCCTGGGTTCTCTTCCCCACCCTGGGAGCGGAGCGGGGGTCTAGCGAGTTAGAGCAGGGAGAGGACGGGGAGTCAGAACTTAATCCACAAGTAAGGACCCCAGTGTCAAACCCAAGCTCCCAGAGAAGGTAGCCAAAGGCCAGCAACAAGCTGGGCTCATAAAGTGCAAATCTGAACAGTGAAAGTCATTAACTATGAAACAGCTTAGCAAGGGTCCTGCTGGATTCCTCATCCCTGCAAATGTTACATCAAGAGTGGATGTTTTTCTAAAAGGGATGCTCTAGTTCAAATAATCTGGATTCAGACCAAATCATGGGACAGACTTTAGCAACACGGTGTTAATCAGCTTTTGAGGGATGGTGGGGAGACGTCCATTCTGGTCTTCCTGGGCCTCTCCAGCAACATTCATCACTGTCCACCTTGAGAGAGTGCAGTCCCATGTCAGAGAGGTGGCAGGGGGCCAGGGGAATGCCACGACACCCCTTATTTATGGGGTCCCACAAGGATAAATTGTCTATCCAGTTCTATTCAATGTCTACCACTAGCCACTGGTCAGATGAACTGAACTCTCAAGTGCCAGCAATATGCGGGTGGAGGACACCTCTACCTATCTTCACCACACGTGCCCATGATGCCCAAGGCTCCGATGACATCATAGAATCATAGAATATCAGGGTTGGAAGGGACCTCAGGAGGTCATCTAGTCCAACCCCCTGCTCAAAGCAGGACCAATTCCCAATTTTTGCCCCAAATCCCTAAATGGCCCCCTCAAGGATTGAACTCACAACCCTGGGTTTAGCAGGCCAGTGCTCAAACCACTGAGCTATCCCTCCCATCCAGTTCATGGATGAAGGACAGCAGGTTGAAGCTAAACCCAAGCAAGACAGAGTTGATGCTGGTTGGCAGAGGAAAGTATTTTGAGGAGTTTGCGGCCATGGTGCAGTCTCATTTGGTTGAAGGTTCACACCCACAAATGGTTGATTCAGATCATAGTTTAGCTGTCCCATCCTGGCAAACAAGGACCTGGCCTCAGCTGGTCATGCCTTTGTCACTTCCCATCGGGACTACAGCAGTGTCTACCTGGACATGATGTCTTCAGAGCCTAGGAAACTCCATATAGTTCAAGAACACTGCACTGTGGCCCTTCAGCAATGCTGGCTCCTGTGAACACATCACACTTGTCCTCTGCTCCCTGCGCTGGCTTTTCATACAGCAGCAAGTCAAGTGCAAGGTCTTGGTCCTTCCAGGAGCTCCATGGCCTGGGGCCGGGATATCCAAAAAAACCTACAGCTCTATGATGAAGATCGTAGTCAACAACTCCAATCCCCAGGCACAGTGGAACTTTCTACCCTAAGGGTAAATCTCATCTGTGTGCTTGTCTGGGCCTGTCCGAGACTGTGGAATGAACTTCTCCAGGAACTAAGAGCCATCACAAACCTCACGTCACCACCTTCCAAATCTTCATTCTCCAATATAAATGAAGAACAGCAGGTACATTTGGAAAAACAAACAAACTTCCAAACAAAACCAACCAAAGCAAAACACACCACTGGAGAGGGAACGGCCCACATATGACAATGTTAGTCACAATGCTTAACGCGCAACTGGAAAGTGCTCAGGCCTAGATCCACAAAGGTATTTAGGTTCTGAACTTCAGGAGTTAAGAACCTAAATACCTTTGTGGATCTGGGCTTCAGATACTATGGTAATAAGTTGCTTGCTTACAGACCGCCCCCCAACCTGAAGCAAATACTTACCAGCAACCACACACCACACAAAAGAACCACTAACCCAGGAACCTATCCTTGCAACAAAGCCCGTTGCCAACTGTGTCCACATATCTATTCAGGGGACACCATCACAGGGCCTAATCACATCAGCCACACTATCAGAGGCTCGTTCACCTGCACATCTACCAATGTGATATATGCCATCATGTGCCAACAATGCCCCTCTGCCATGTACATTGGTCAAACTGGACAGTCTCTATGTAAAAGAATAAATGGACACAAATCAGACGTCAAGAATTATAACATTCAAAAACCAGTCGGAGAACACTTCAATCTCTTTGGTCACTTGATTACAGACCTAAAAGTGGCAATTTTTCAAAAAAAAAACTTCAAAACCAGACTCCAATGAGAGACTGCTGAATTGGAAGTAATTTGCAAACTGGATACAATTAACTTAGGCTTGAATAGAGACTGGGAGTGGATGGGTCATTACACAAAGTAAAACTATTTCCCCATGTTTATTCCCCCCCCACCACACGTTCTTGTCAACTGCTGAAAGTGGCCCACCTTGATTATCACTACAAAAGGTTCACCTCCCTCCCCCGCTCTCCTGCTTGTATTAGCTCACCTTACCTGATCACTCTCCTTACAGTGTGTACGGTAACACCCATTGTTTCATGTTCTCTGTGTATATAAATCTCCCCACTGTATTTTCCACTGAATGCATCCGATGAAGTGAGCTGTCGCTCACGAAAGCTCATGCTCAGATAAATTGGTTAGTCTCTAAGGTGCCACAAGTCCTCCTTTTCTTTTTGCGGACACAGACTAACACGGCTGCTGCTCTGAAACCCATGGTAATAAAGGTGGTGTAAGAGTCTATAAGAATAGAATAGACTCCTGGGTTCTATTCCCAGTTCTGGGAGAGGTGTGGGCTTTAGGGGTTGGGGGGAGGATGACGATGGGGAGTTAGGATTCCGGGTTCTAGCTCCAGTTCTGGGAGGGAGAGTGGAGATGGGGTACTGAGAAGAAGATCAAAACTGCACCTAACTCCAGCTTTCAGAAAGCGCATTTGCTTGCACCAAATCTAAAACTATATCCAAGACACAAATAGTCCTTTGCAAAGCCCCCAGGTGCATACTGCTATCATCCCATTCCTGTAGGAAAAGGAGGCCACAATGGAAAAGAAAGAATAGGAAATGCAGAGTATTTATTCCTGTGGGGCAGTTCAGAAGAAACATCCATAGTACACGTCCTCTCAGCTCCAGACAAATGGGGATGTAACATATGACCAGTGCATGTCCCTTGCTGCCTTCCTGTAAATGTTCCTTAGTAATTTCTCTGTATTAGCTTTTAGCTTTGTCATCTGAAGCAGGAGAGAGAAAGAGACAACTCAGCAAATCCAGAGAATTCCCTGAGTTGCAGCTTTGCGTGTTTCAAAAGCTCCAGACAGTGATGAAGCAGGGAATTTTAAGATCATTTACAAATCTTTTAAAGAGACAAGGGAGTGTGCTGCTCTCTCTCTCACACCCGCAACAACTCAGCGGGTCAAATTAATCCCTGGTGTAACTACACTGACTTCATTTGAATTATAATAGGGTTGTGTGTGGAGAGAACTCATCAGAGAGCCCAGGAGAGTGTGCAGGGCTGAGCCATCCGCCAGAGAGTAAAGCAAGCGGTTTAATGAAAACCAGAACATTAACACATCCCTCTTGTTCACAGAAGCACAGGAATGGCTGGACTGGATCAGACCCATGGTCCATCTAGCCCAGGCTGGTTTCTCCAATCATAGCCGGCCTCAGAGGAAGATGCAAGAAACGCCTCAGTAGGCAGACGGGAGATAGTCTACCCCCCACGAAGATCTCATTCTAATGCCCAATAGTTAGAGATTGGTTTCAACCTTGACACATGAGGGGTTTTCTCCCTTCCCTTCCAATACTCATTTTGGTACCATTAGCTGCTGTAACTCTGGGTACTCTCACAAAATGGCCAATCTCTCTTTGAACCTTGTGAAACTCTTTGCCTCAGCGACACTGGTCCCTGAATGACAAACGTTGCATTAAAAGCTTTTATGGTTTATATGCTTGTTGCTTTGAACAAAAGGGGAATGGCCAGTGGGGAATAGGACAATCCTGTCCGAGTCCCCCATGCCTGTGGCGACCGTTCAGAGGCGGTCGTGCTGGGGGTGCGTTGCAGGGAATGCTTGCCCCCCGTTTTCAAAGAGCTGCTCTCATAGCCCTTGCTGAAGGCGGCCTGTATAAACCAGCGAATGGGTCCCACCCTGCTTGAGCATGTGTGTTCAGAGCCTTTCCTTTGTGACGACAGCCCCAGATCCTAAGGCCTGGGAAGTTTGCAGCTTGGGTTCAGTGGGAGCTTTGCATGAACACGGCCTTGATCTGCAAGGGGCTCAGTGCTCTGGACTCCCGCTGACTTCAGTAGGGGCTGGGGTGCTCAGCACCGCCCAGGAGTCATTTGGCACCGTGCAGGAATGTTCAGAAAGCCACAAGCACTATGGTGGAGTGGGTGAGGAGTGGGATTCTGAAGGAAGTGGAAGACAAAGGCAGGAAAGCAGCCAGCACTGCAAAGGGTCTGTGTAGGAGACCGCTCAGAGGGCTCTGCGGTGTGGCACATTTAAGGGGCATTTACGTGGTTGTGCTAAGAACAGGAGAGGAGGGGGCCCAAGGCTGCTGGTACTACAGAACACCAAGCAGTTCCTGCGACACTGCATCAGTCCCTACTGCCTTTGCTACAGCTGAAAACACACAATCCGACACCGATGTTCTGACCCAAGAGGTACTGGGGGCTGGGCTGCGGCATATGGGATGATCTGTTTGTTGGTTTAGGAAAGGAGGGTTAGAGCAAAATCTCTGTTCTTCCTAGGAACTCTCTTAGTCTACTAGAGCTCAATGGGTGTTCCTCCAAGTGTCCCAAATAATTACGCCTTGTTGGGAGGGACGGATCCATGCAGGAATGAGAGCCAGGTGGGC